CCGCCCTCTGCCGCCGCGGGCGGCGGGGGGAGACGGGGCCAGGGGCTCAGCGATGCATCCCGCTGGGATGGGGTCTGCAACCCTCCCGACCCCTCGCACCCACCAAACCCGCGCTGCAGATTGAGTCGCCTCCATCTCCCCGGGCCGGGGGGGGGACACAAATCCGGGCAGGCTGCGTGGAAATAAACCCTTTCCTGCCGAGCACAGCCGCGTTGTCGTGCTGCCTTTCTGCTGCTCCGGCCCAGCGCCCCGGCCCCGGCTCAGACAGAGGGATGAACCTCCGGCCCGAGGGTTTTGCTGCCGGGGCTGCATCGCGAGACCCGCGGTGGCATCGTCACACAAAGTCCCCCAAGGGCCAGGCAGGCAGAGGCAGGGTCACCGGCAGGATCGCAGGAGCATCAGGCTGGTGGACGTGACGGGGAGGCTGGATCACGGCACACAGGCAGCCCCAGCCCTCTAGGAAGATGAAATCACTTGCAGGCCTTGGGTTTTAGGGGACAGGAGCCTCAAAGTGTCCCTGCTGAGGGGACACCAGCACTCCCCTCTCAGGCCCAAACAGGCAGGGCCGGCACCACAGCGAGCTGCTCGCTACAGACCCAAGTGCTTGACGAAGGGTTCACTCAAGCACATATTCCCCCCAAAAAAGCAGCCCCGTATCTGCTACCAGTAGCCAGGAGCCCCCTGCCAGGAGGGCGAAGCAGAGGGAGCTTTACCACCCTGCCAGCGCAGGAGCACCGGGACGAGGCTGCTCCTCCGGGCTGGCACAGACGCGGGCAATGCTTCCCTTTGCGTGATCGGGAAGAGCACAACACCGAGAGGTTGCCCTGCACCTCGAGGGGCGGCTGCCGCCCTCCAGCCAGGCCCTGGGTCACACTCACAGAGAGCTCTCGACATGGCCAGCCTGTTGGTCGACATATTTTAATGGACGAGTCACTGGGGTCAACCTCTGACCCAAGGAGAGAGGCCTAAAACCGCTCTAAAAGCAAAGAGATGAGCGCACAGTCACGCCAGCACTTCGGGAACGAGCGGCTTGCCCCTTCCCCGAGGAGGAGGACACGCAGCGAGGGCACCCGGGGTCTCGCTGGCTCCTTCTCCTCGTTAGCGCTCCGGCGAGGAGGGCTGCCAGAGCAGCGGTGCCTTTGCTCGCTGGCGGGCTGCGTTGCGGCATGTTTTTCTCACAAAGCTGAGGACAAAGACGCCTTTACGGAGCCGCCCGGCCCCTCAGTCCGCGCTCAGCTGGACGCCTCCATCTCGGTGACCTCCTCGAGCGGCTGGGTCTGCACTTCCACCTTCTTTGGGGGGATGTAGGAGCCCATCCCGGCGGCGCGCTCTGCCTCCTCCTGCGTGTACGGTGCCTCCCGCAGCTGCTTCAGCCTGCAGGGAAGGCAGAGAGGAGGGCTGAAGCCTTCCTGCCCGGCTCCTCAAAACACGACCGGCCCTGAGCTGCCACGGCCACCCGCCTCACCCCGAAGAAGCCGGGGCGGGGGGCCGCAGCCCGCTCCAGGGCAGGGCACGGGCCCACAGGGCGGCTCGGGGCCCCTTACCTCTTCTTGTGCACCTTGGACCTGAAGTGCTCCTTCATGCTGGTCAGGTCCACGAAGTAGCGCCTGGGGGGGACGAGAGGCTGGGGGTCAGCGGGCCCCGAGATGGGAGCGGGGCTGGGGAGAGCCCTCCCGCGGGGCCGGGGTCCCCCCACACCCCTGGGGCCAGTCCCCCAGGGGCCAGGGTCCTCCCTGAGACCAGGACAAGACCCCTCGTGGGGGTGAGAGCCCCCCTCGCCGGGACCAGCCCCCTCCCCAGGAGCCAGGGACCCCCCCGGACCAGGACAACCCCTCCCAGGACCAGGGATCCCCCAGCACCAGGGATCCCCCCAGCACCAGGGACCCCACCAGCGCCAGGGACCCCCCCAAGGGCTGGAGCCCTCCCTCCCCAGCCCCCCCCGACCGGGACACCCCCGGTGCGGGGACCCCCCCGACCCCCGCACGCGCAGTGCAGGCAGTAGAACTGGGCGCAGCCCGGCAGGTCGGGGTCGGGCTCCTGCCGCAGCAGCCGCGCGGCGGTCTCGGGCTGCC